CGAAATAATCACCGCCTCTCCCCTCAGACCTTCCTGGTAAAGGGAAGTGAATCTATTCAAGTGAAACAAGCACATACTATTTATGGTAGTCATTCTATGGATCACAATTTACATCTATGATTCCAAGATTTTCCGTTCTTTGGAGTTAGCCGCTGCTACAGAAAAGCTTAATCGAAACGATTGCGTCTTTATACGGCAAAATACACGAAATGCAAAAAAGTAGCATAGCGTATATTTTCATTTTCCTTGTAATTCTTTTGTACTTTTACACTACATTTCAGTAAAATCTGAAACTAAATAGTGTACTACAATTTCTTACATTTGCAAAAATGTTATACTCTTTTCAAAACATTCTACCAATAAATAAATTGTTACTGTGCGTAGTGTTTCTGTGTAAATTTCAAAATAATGTTAAAAACACAATATTGTCAAATAATTTTTTGAATGTTATTATTTGGAACAATTATTTGAAGTTTGAAAAACAGAGATGTGATAAAACCAATACAGTAATTCAGTGTTACTATTTGTAACATTTATTTACTATTTTTCACTGAATATAATGTTTCCTTGTAAACTTCAAAATAACATTGGAAATACATGTTAAAATGTTATTTCGATGTTACTTCCTGCAACATTATTTCACGGTTCTACATTCAACGTTACTATAATGTTTCGTTGTCAGTGATGTGATTGGCCTAAGCCATTTTGGCGCACGTTTCGAAGCAACCAAAACAGTGTTTTGGAGCAGCAAAAAAGGCTTTTTGAGCACCCAAGACAGGGTTTGGGAGCAGCAAAAGTGGATTTTGGAGCAAATATTCTTAGGAAAATAAAAATATTTGTTTTAAGTGCAGTACAAACGAAGGGCACTTTGTGTTGTGTTGTATTCTGATGTGACGTGTTGTGACAGAACTTACTGCTTCTGTTTTTACTGCTCAGACATCCCAGATGTGTACAGTGCTGTAGGCATTGCCAAGCAATTTCAAAAAACTGCTTGCCGCCGTTTTACTCGTTCCCGACGTGCCAGGTTTTCGTCAAACGTAAGCGAACGTAAAACAATAAATTGCAAGCGTCCCAGCTGGTGCCTCAATCACGCAATCATGTTCGCATGCACGTGAGGTCAACTTCGACAGGCTTGCTGTTGGACATGCTTCGCCGCGCGAGCGCAGACAACGGCTGTCCGATCGAAACCGAAACCATGTCCCTCAGCTCCGTCGCTAACTTATCCCCAAAATTGTACACAAAATGTAACTTTCGAGCATGCGACAAAACGGTCAGTGGCGCGTGCTTGCCAGGCCGGCAAACAAGGTACAAGCTAAACACATAAGAAATAAATAACCTGAGTGCATCGATGCAAGACATTGCGAGCCAGCCTCAAAAAGATCTCGGAGCGCTTTGTGCAACGACTGAACTCAAGACAAACAAGCACGCTGTGCGGGTCCAGCGTGCATACCTTGCCTTCTTTGCTTTAGCTCACTTCTCTTCACCAACTTTTTTTCACGGCAGATTTTTCACGTATCGAGGTCCCTCTAGAAAGGAGGCCCACCAAGAGGAATCTAGATAATCAATACTTTGACAGAGCAGTCTTTGAATTAAAGATGGATTTTTGTAGTAACGTTTGATATAAACAAAAACAGGAATGGTGATGAACATGCGGCGGTACTTAGTTTCATTTGAGCAAGTACCATATCTGCAGTGATGTGGGGACGGATAGATTCGACGTCGCGCCACCGCGGTGACTGAAAGGCAGTGACCAAATATAGTTTTCCTACGGCCGTTGCCTCCCCCTACAAAAATATGTATGGACGTCCTATGTCCATACTTTTGCCGTTCTATTACCCCTTTGTCCATCCTATGGATTCCTGTAGACAGTTCTTAGACCGTCTATGTACCACTGGTTTGCCACAGAATGGACACAACAACGCTATAGAGATCTTCGCGAAAGACAAAGTTTTTCATACCTTCCTCTTTCCGTTCTATGGTCCCGGTGAGTCTATGGACATCCTATTGCCTCTCTATGGTGTGAGCTATATATTGGTGCATTAATAAAGTGATGCCGGGTAGACGTTTTCTTTAGGTGTAGCGAGGTGTCCGAGTTATGGTACATTGATGTCTGGAGGCATATCCAACCTCAGGGTATATTCATTGTAGATATGGAAGTGTTTAGTATGTGCCGGAATAATGTTTTTACTTTCTCAGTGGGAGGTAGATATATGTGGGTCGCTGCGGCCCCCGTAGATATTCGCAACTTTCGAAACCCATAGGGGGCGCACTGGTGCCTATCGAAATTGCGGTCATCTGGATGATCGTCGTTAAAAAGCGGTATACTAGGCTGGGTCTGCGCGCGACGCGTAAGTAATTCTAGTTATGCTGTATACGCGCAGTATCAAAACCTTACTTTGTTTTTTTTTTCACGTCAGGAAAGTGTAGGCAATCCATTTTATTATGAGGCCAATCATCCAGGAGCTAGGGAGTGCGATTCTCACACCGCGGTACCACCATCGGTTAAAGTGGCTTCTCTATGGACCCCTTAGGGACTCCGTGCAGACCCTGTATGGCTTCTCTGCAGACTCCATAAGGAGCCCCTGTAGACCCTGTATGTCTCTCCTGTGGACCCTGTATGGCTTCCCTGTGAACCCCGCACGTACTCCCTATAGACCTTGTATGGCTTCTTTGCAGACCCCTAAGGACCCTACACTCTTTAAAATGATTTTTACAGAGCACGTTTTTGTGTAAAAACAAATGGGAAAAAGCTCTTTTTGTAGAAACTTTTATTGGAGATAGTACAAAATGACAAGGGCGTGATGTTTGCTTACACTTTTAGCTTACAGGGTTTTGTGGCACAATTAATATTTCTTTTTACAGCCATGCCTCACCGGCGAATTCAGGTAGCGCGTTTTGACTTGGGTGCGTCCTAACTTCGGTTGCAATTCGCGGCGCGTCCACCTGGGAGATGGGGGTTGGCATCCCTGAAACCCCTCTTCTACCGTATATGTTTCGGCGCCAAAGTGGCCGATTAAAGCCAAAGCAGAACAGTTACATGCTGTCGAATATCGATAGTCCCAAACCGGCAGACGCGGTCGTGCAGTTATCCGAGTGGCCGCTGCGGGTGGAATGGTGGCGTTGCGATCGCAATTAGTTCGGTTTTCGAGTACAGATCGGGTGCCGCTTTCTCAGAGCAAACTCTTTAGCGTTTCCCAACTGACTTGCTCTAGAAACGTTGGTCGGTGCGGACCCCGTAGCCGACCCCCTGCAAACTGAGTGGCTTCTCTAAGGACCCTGTAGGGACTCCCTGTAGACCTTGTATGGCTTCTCTGGAGACCCCATGAGGACCCTGTGTAGACCTTGTATGGCTTCCCTGTGGACTCCCCAGGGACTCCTTGTAGTCTTCGTATGGGTTTTCTGCAGGCACCCTATAGACACCGTAAAGACGCTGTGTAGACACCCTATAGAGTCCCTATGGACTCTATATGGCGTCTTACCATAGAGAGGGTATAGGATGACCACACATCATCCATAGAATAGGACGCCCATAGAACGTCCGTTGGCCAATATTCTATAGGACAGCCATAGGACGACTTCACGGAGGCAACAGAGGTCGTGGTCTGCCTATAGACGCCTTTTGTTCTGCCTATGGACGCTGCTCTATAGAACGTCCAAGAAGTGTCCATACATATTTTTGTAAGGGTCAGCTCACAAAGTAACTCCTGCCGAGCAAAAACGTGGTTTCGTTTCACAGCATGACGTCATGGCTGGTACCCTGCACGCTAGCGTCGGAGCGTCTGCACACATCCGCGTCTATCGCTGAAAATATAAAAAAAGAAGAGACGAGAGACGAGACCCACAAGACGAGAGCCCGAAACACGAGACGCCGGGATAACCATGCAAGACCCGTTGGACAATTGATGCACGGTACTTTGTGTCAGGCGGCCGCTTGCGCCACATAACGCACGCCTGCTCAATTACAGTTCTGAGTTTAGTTTCTGTTTTGAAAGGCGCACTAAAGTGGTTCTTTGGCGCAGGCTTGGCGCAGATTACCCACATTTTGGCGAAATGTAGCAGGATGTAGCAGGGTTAGCCCCTTGGCGCAGTTTGGCGAAATTTGCGCAGCAATCACATCACTGAACCGTTGTAAACTTCAATATAATGTTAGGAGCATAATATTACTCAATGTTACTTTAATGTTAGTACTCATAACATTCTTTTACAGTTATGTATTGAATGTTTTTATAACGTTTTTTACACAACAATATCGTTATATGTTTAATTTGAACGTTACACTAACATTGAGAACATACCTAAAACGTTGTGCGTTCTATTTGAACGGTACTGTAACATTTACACCTAAAACAAAATGTTATTTCAACTTACGCAACAAAAAATTAATGTTGTTACAATGTTTTGTGCTACCTTTGTTCTTTTCGTGTGAGTTGTATTGCATGCTCAAAATAGGGCTACCTTAATGTTACCAGAAATAAGAAGATGAGAATTGCGCGAGTATGCGAGCTACAATTCAAAGCCGAGTACCTCCGGACAACAACAACATGTACTGACGCAAGTGGGAAGACCATTGAGTTTCCAATGAGCCTCACGAGGCTCACTTTAGACGCAGTGCCGACAGTCATGCCGAACTGCCCCACATACTTCTCCGACGTAACAGAACTGCGAGACAGCCCGGAAACGAAGCGAAGAAGGCAAGAAAGTGGTTCTGTAGAAGAAGCCATCAGGTGTTCTGTGGAGACACATGCAGAAGAAGGAAGCGCCAACCAGGTGACTACGCTGCGCAAATTGCATCCCAACTGCATCGTTTGGAGCTGGAGCCATTCTGGACGGTTGTGCACACGGAAACTAGTCTCATGTGCATTCACATAGAAGATTGCCAGGCTCCGTAAATTGAACGCTCCGTTGTTGTGTCCCAGGACCTCTCTTTTCGTGCTTACTGGAAAGGTTAACAGTTGCACCCTTAAGCCAACCTAGTCACGATTCCGGAAAGCATCGAAGACATGCGTACCCTCCACACACTGTTCGAAAGCATGAGATCTATCGAGACTACACCACAGGACGAAAAAGTGCACAGAACTACGGCAACTATGATGCTGATGCTGTCTCTCCTAGAGAACCTTATCAGTGATGATCTACTCCCTGGGGAAAAACTTGAAGTTCTCAGTTTCATTCAAGAGCAACTTCAGCTACTCATGCAAGAGAAGAGGGCATTTGGGTACTCAGCAGAGCTTCTAGATTTTGCAAGTCTTGTGTATACGATTTCCCCACACGCATACGCGTTCATCAGGCGTTCTGGAAACGCAATTCTTCCGCATCCGTCCACGATAATGCGTGAGTGCCGTTCGCTCGACGTCAGCCCAGCAAATGAACAAAACGATGATGGGTTCCCGAGCTACAAAAAACGACGGGTGAGGTTAATGAAACCGCATGAGCGTAGGGTGACCCTCATGATTGACGAAGTACACATCCAACAATCTTTTGAATACAATGGAGGGGAATTAACTGGCACCGCCTCAAATTCCACAGAAGCCGCAAAAACCGCCCATGTATTCATGACGCAGTCCCTTCTGTCGCCTCACAAAAACGTCGCTCACATACTTCTAGTCGCAAGAATTGATGCTGAACAGCTCCGCAAAATTTTGAAAAAAGTCATCATGAAGCTTGAGGAAGCTGGACTCACTGTTGTAGCAGTCATAAGTGATTACAATGCTATTAACAGGAAAGTGATGAGTCTTTTTTCGTCCAAGGGAAAGCTTGACATCTGCTACGCACACCCAGTTGACTCCAGGCGACCCTTGTTTTTTGTTGCAGATCCGGTTCACTTGTTGAAGTGTGTGCGCAATAATTGGTTAAACCAAAGAAACCTAGAGAAGTGCATGTTCTACCCAGCAATAAACCCTGCCAGCACTACCAAAGTTAACGGTGCATCGTTAACTGCACTGAAGAGGTAACACGCGCGTGAGCAGTACAAACTTGTAAAGTTCGGTCATGGTCTCACATTTAAAGCACTGAATCCTTCAAACCTCGAGAGGCAAAATGCGAAACTTGCACTCAAGGTGTTTAACAGCTCAGTCGCTGAGGCAATGAGAACGCGTGTCAAGACATTGAATCTGCCATATGCAGAGGGAACTGCCGATTACATTGCGATAATTGTGAAGTGGTGGTCCATTGCAAATGTCAAAACTTTAACGAAAGGCGTCGATTAAAAGATGCTTTCCAAGAGCCCATTACGTCCATAGATGCTGTTCAGGTTGGCTTCCTGAGCACATTCGTGGATTGGCTTGACACATGGCGAAACCTGGGGACTAGCACAGGCCTGCTAACGTCGGACACCCACACAGCACAACGACTGACTTCGTACGCCCTAATCGAGCTGACCCGATACTGCCTTGAGGAGCTGGGTTTTGAGTACGTCCTGTTGGGGAAATTTCAGACGGACTGTCTCGAAGAGCGATTCGGAAGGTACAGGCAGTTGTCAGGGTTGCAGTACCATGTGTCAGTCACACAAGCATTCGAGTCAGAAAAAAAAAATTCGGCTACAAGAATCTCTTAGCTTTCCAAGCATGGCAGAAGCACACAAAGAGATTACACCACCCAATGAAGAGGAACTGCTGCAGCAGTACACTGTCAGTGTCACCGTCAATGACATAACACTGAAGTAGCCTGAAATGCCAGCCATTGCCTATGTGGCTGGATTTTGTGCACATGCTGCTCTCAAAAAGTTAACTTGTGATACATGTGCGGAAAACCTTACCGTGCAGACCAGAGAGATGCAAGCTGAGAGAGACGTGCTGATCGAGAACCTCTCCAGAGGTAGTCTTAAGTTTCCTCGGCCATGCGTACCGAATGGAGTATTGCACACGCAGATTGTGCTGGAAAAGCTCACTTGCAGCAGCATCAATAAGTACAGATTTTTGGAGGCGAAAATAAACGTGGAATCCTGTTGGATCAAGTGAAGTTCCATTTGTCAAGTGCGGAAGATGAACACTTTGATATGTGCCGTAACGGGCATCACCCAGAGACAGTGCTGTCCTATGTACTTTGTGCTGCTGCCAATACTTTGCTAAAAAAAACTATGTGCAGCAACAAAATGACCACCTTCGTACAGAAAAGGGTAAAGAGAAGCCACGAAAACTCCAAACCTTAAAATGAAATGGACGTGGTTCCAGCAGTGCACAAAATCGGGTTCCTGGAACATTACTTACTATTATTCAGTTTGATGTACAGATGCAGCGATGCGTTAAAAATGTTTATTGCCCACTGGTGTGCAAGTCAACAACCCAAGAATGAAGTATTCTTAAAAGGTTCACAGCATACATTGCTCTGATTTATGACAAAAAACACATACAAACTGGTACATATACTTTCTTTACTTATCAACTCGAAAAAATAAAAATGACACAGCCAATGTCTTCCTTGTATAATTTTATAACCTAATGAAAGAAAGCACAAGTACCAATTTGTTCAAAAATATTTTGAACAAATGGCAAAGCTCTGCACTTTGATTACATACATATTGCCACATACTAACCACATCCATAACCATATCACTAGAGTTTTACCAATTCCTAGCTTCTCTTCAAAACGGCAAGTTTAGATTTAAGCGGCATCAGTATTAAAAGTTATTTTCCCAACAATGCTTTCTGACACTCAAAAGGCTTCCTCAATCGCTACACGATTTATTAAATTCTAGTGTCAGATTAGGTGTTTGAGGTAGTATACTGTAAACCAGCTGTTTTTGTTAAGAGAAATTGCCTAAAGAAAATGCCACAATCGGTACACCACCGTAAAACATACAACTGGGTGCTCAGATAGGAATATACGACCGTAAAACCAACGAAGTGACTTAAAGGACATTCCACAATTCGTACATCAACGAAAGACATACAACAGACTACCCAGAATAGGAATATTTGACCGCCAAACAAAGAAAACAATGCACGTTACGCCGACCTTTTGCGTCAGTTTGACTATTAAAACAAGAACGCCTACGCATGAAGGATCAACGCGAACGCTTGCAGCGTTGAGCATTATACCAAACGTTTATATATATTCGTTTCCTGGACTCAAACTAGCTTTCAATATTACAGTATAATTGTAGAAATAAATCGGGCTTCAGCACTTTCGATAACAGAGCACAAACGGTGCAGAAACTAGCAAGGCGTTTCTCGTGTTCCGCATATTTTCACACCATTGCTCGCCAAGTTTACGAATTCTATACTTGGCGGGACCAATCCATCTCAAACGTGACAAAACGAAAACTTCCCAAAGTATATAACGCTCCACCTTAGTAATGATATTCTTTTGGAAAAGTTGTATCGAAACTTGAGCTCCAAAGAACTGCGTTGACTCGCGCTGCTCTCTTACACGCAGGTCACAGATCGCGAAGCACGTAGACGTTAACGAAAGCACACGCGCACACACGCGCAAACATATACACCGGATATATTTCTTGCTCCTTCCTAGTTCACTTTTTTTCAGGGAGAGCGTTGTGGAACGCAAGCGAAAAACCTAACACCCGCCGGAGAGGCCTAACGAGGCTTAGCAGTAGCCAGCGTAACCGCTTCGTTTCACCTTTCTGTTCTTTTTTCGCCGATATCGCGCCGAGACTTGAGCTCTGAAGAAGGAAGTTCACAGACATATACAAGAGAAAGTTTTAGCACCGTTGCATTTCTCGTTACGGACGAACAATGACCACAGTGGTAGATAGCACGTCGAACTCAACAGCAGAACCGGGCATGACTGATATGGCGACGGAACTGACGGTGGATCGGGGTGCGTGACGTCACGCAGGGAGTGAGTGGGTCTTAGTTTCTAGAGGGTGTTGGCAAAGTAGTAGTTTGACGTCCGTGACGTCATGTCCGGTTTTCGCAACAAGGTTAAGGGGCTTAGAGTGATAAACCGGAAGTTCGGAAGTGGCACCCCCCCGGTTGCCGCCATGTTGTACGCAAATGTGACCACTCGTTCGTGACCTCCCAAGAGCCGTGACGTCACAGGTAAGATGGCAGCGCCCAGTGCTGGCGTATGCCAGTTTGTTCGGTGCGCGGTAGCCGTGATGTGCAGCTGCTTTCCGACGACTTTGGGCTTCTTCGTGCTGGCTGGCGCAGGGTATAATGTGAAAATATGAAGCAATGAGACTTTACACCGTTTTTACGCAAGATCGCTCTGGATCATCTGGATATTAACGCCTGTGAGACAGCATCAGCTCTGCATCGCCGTACCGGTGCTCGGATTCCGGGATGGGTGTTCGAGGATCGATAGAACATTTGAGTGCTTTTAACATGAAATTTTAACATTCTTTTAGTTTTGTTTGAACGTTGAAATATCTGAGAATCTACGCGAAATGTATACGTCGCGTTAGGGGCTTAGGGGAAGTTGTTTCAGCCCTCCGTCACCGAACAACCGTAGCAACTTTTAGCAAGGAAGCTCCTGCGATTTTTACCTTTTGTGCTTATCCACGATTCTACATTCGATCGCTTTTCTTCCTTTTTTTGTGTGTGAGCATAGGTCGGCATTTTAGGCTGTCCTCACTCAAACTCACGATCACTATTTTTTCCTCAATCAGGACTCACGCCCACTCACGATCACGATTTATTCAAAATAGGGTCATCACCCGGACTCACCCTCACGGTTCAACACAAAACCAAAACTCACCCGCCGTCATCATTGCGGTCGTCACGCTCACATATCATCACGGTCATCACGCTCACAGGTCATCACAAATCATCAGACTCACAGGCCATCAGACTCACAGGTCATCACACTGACAGGTCCTCACGGTCCTCACAGTGACAGGTCATCACGGTCCTCGCACTCACAGGTCCTCACACTCATAGCTCTACACGGTCCTCACACTCACAGGTCCTCACGGATCTCACACTACACTCACACAGGCCCTCACGGCCCTCGCACTCACAGGCCATCACGGTCCTCGCACTCACAGGTCCTCACACTCACAGCTCCTCACGGTCCTCACACACACAAGTCCTCACGGTCCTCGCACTCGCACAGGTCCTCACGGTCCTCACACTCACAGGTCATCACGGTCCTCGCACTCACAGGTCCTCACACTCACAGCTCCTCATGGTCCTCACAGGTCCTCACGGTCCTCACACTCACACAGATCTTCACGCTCATCTTACACACAGGTCCTCACACTCACAGGCCATCACGCTTATAGGTTGCTTTCTTTGTTTTTCTTTTGTTCCTCGCAAGCCGTTGGTCTGTCGCCGCGTGAGTCGTGCGACGGGGAAACTACCCTAAAACACTGAACTTCTGAACCGCTTATCCAATTTGAAAGAAATGTACTATGTTTATGCTCCGCACATTTCTACCAAATCTCGTTCACCCTGATTAGTTACGAAAATAACTAAATGCAAGCTGACGAAATTGGGTGTGTTGAACTTTCGCCTGCTGACAAGGGGCAGCAAAAAAACACAAACGCGCCTTCCGACAGCTTACACAGACAACGTCGCAGTGATTAGAGCATCGCCTCGCTGTGCATACCTCGCTCATTTGTACACAAATGAACGATTAATACATATATCATCCCCGTTTCTTTTTTTGTGTGCCACCCACAATTAATTCTACGGAAGTTTATGCGGCATATATATAATAAACATATGCACTGACCAAATTTTTTTCTCTTTTTTTTTTTTTTCTTTGGGGGGGGGGGGGGAGGCGGTATTGCTAGGTAGGGTGACGTCCGTCTGGTTTGAAATCTCACCATAATCCCTGTTGGATGCGTTGAGTGAGGGGTTCCGCAGTTCTGTGGTGTCCGTCAGTCGTATGCTGTTCTATGAGCAGAGACCGTTGGAGGCCGAGTTTTCCTACTCACTCGAGCTACTTCTGCTTTTGTTGATCGACCGTGCTTACCGCACTAGGCTGCGATTTAAGAAATCATCAGCCGACATTGTTTTTCAGTCATCTCGGCCTTTATAAAATACTAGCA